CTAATATTTATTCATGCATGAATTGCCAATTATTTCATTTAAGTGCATACAATTTGCTTTAATACATTGGAGTCATGATTTTACATTAGTAGACTTAATATCACTTGGTTAGATAAACTCCGGCAAGTTTTAGTTCAAGAGGTTAGTAAAGTACTTTTGCATGGTTTAATATGTTAATATTGTGGAGTTGGGCGATAATTATATGAGATTAACCAACTAGAAGGACTTAAGAGTGCAATATGATAGGTTTTTGGAACACTTGGACTTTGATTGGCCACTTGTCACCATTCTAGCATTTCCTGACCAAGACCATCTTGTGATTTTCCTTAACTTTTAAAAACACATTTTCCTCTTCTTCTTTCAACCTTCATGGCCGAAAATTAGGACAAGAAAAGAGAAGAAAAAAACAAGCCAACTTCAAGCTCTTTAATCCTTCTTAGCTTTGTAAGAAATTCATAACCCATCCATAAGAAGTGATATTTTGGTGATCCTCAAGCTTGTGGTGGAAAGAATTAGAAGGAAAAGCTCTTGTTCTTGCACAATTCTTCTAGGGTTTTGAGGTAACTTTGGTCAAGAAACCCTTTTTCTTTTATTTTACTATTGGGAGGATTTAAGGCATGTTTATGCAACTCACTTGGAGTACTATCTATTGGTTGTGCTTGATTGTGAAAATTTCAGGTTTATAGTGTTAATTTGCAAGACTTCACTTGAGAGTTATGGCCATGATTAACCTTGATATGTTGTGTTTAAGCTGTGGTACAAAGTTGATGATGATAATTGAGGCTTTAGTAGGTGATTTCTTGTTGTTTTGCATGAAGTTGTGTAATGTGACCAAAGCAGGTACGAAACAGGGTAACTAGAGCAGTGTTGGGAAATCTGTTGTATCTTGGTGTAGGAAGGTCAAAATTGAGTTCTGTTTAATGCATTTGAAACTAGATTCATAGGGCTATAAACCGTGAAAATTTGAGACCCTGGTTTTGTCTGTGTGATTTATGGTGACTTTACAAATTTTGAAAAATTTCGAGACTGTTCAGCCTTAGTTTTGAAGTTGTTGTATTGTATAGTTAAAATCTGACTGGTTTGCAGTCCGAATCTTGTAAAGTGACCTTCTAGATACATGTAGATCTTCAAATCTACTTCCTTGTGTCAAAATTTGGTGATTTTTGGACTCACAAAATCAATGTTTTGATTTTTCCAAAGTTGGTTGCTGGAGTTGAAAACTTTATGTTCAGAGAGGTTTTAAGAGTCATTTGAGCAGTAAATTTGTCCATCGTTTAGGCCAAACCAGCTCTTGCTCAAAACATGAAATCGTAGAGTATTGAGCCAGCTTTCTACCTGCAAAAGTTCAGATCAATCAGATCATCGTAGCCTCTGAAATGACCAGAACACCTTGCTTGCAGTGAAAACCCTGATTTGCTGTAATCGTTTTCCTTATACTTCTGAAATGTTCATTTTTTACCCTGAAGACGTCTGATTTTAAACCCGATGTCTTCATAAGAAATGTAGCCCTGTGTCTTAGCTTCGAAATGATATAGAAATGATCTCAATCTGATTTGTATAGCCTCAGTTATGATCAGAATACCAACACATGACAAAGCTGTCACCTATACATTTTCTCTTTAGTATTTCCTTTCTTCACTTTTCTTGATTCCATTCATTTTTTTTCTTAGTTCAAATTAACATTTGTACTCCATATTACACTCAAACCCTTGTACTTGATGTTTCCTTGGATTTAAATGAGAAACCTTAATGTTTTTTATTATGCTTAATTCGTGACTCAGAACTTGATTTCTCATGGTTCCATTCTTACTTTTGAACTTTGAATTTGAAAATGTTTGATTCCAGGCTATAACGACTCGCTTTATTCTTTAGTATACATTTGAGAATTATATACCAACCTCTTATTTCTTCACTTCTTAAGTGCGAAAACCCTAAGGTTTTGTCTTGCACTTTCATATAAACTTGTTGGTTCTTACCTCAGGACTCGAGGGTAACCAAGGGTGTTATCCAGGAACCGAGACATATCGCACGTAACAGTCAGTGTTCCTTGCATGTGTGTGTGACTTGAATAGTTTTGCTACATGTTTACTTCATATTTCTTGTGTGTTTAAGTGTTAAGTGCTCCCTATAACTGCTCCTATGTAATTTTCCACCGTTTTACGGCGAGTGTGTACTTTATCACACTCAACCTACTAAAATAACAAAGTTCTACCGTTTAACCGTGAATTTCTACCATTTAAAGGTTTATTTGATTATTTGCGCATGTTGTAAGCTCTTAGCTGAACTGGGCCCTGCCCTTGGTTGCTAACCTGCTCGAACCAGGACTGTGCTCAGTTGGGTAGGTTGGAATCCTGGATCACCGTTTCGGTATACTTGAGTATTACCACTGGAGGAATAAGGCGATGACCAGACAAACCGAGGGAATTATTGGAGTTATAAGGTGAAGCTGATCGAAATAGTTCCACGTGAACACCGTATCCTTTTAATGTGTATTTATTTCTGTAAAATGATAAATGTCTCATTTTAATGTGCCAATGTGAAACCTTGAACCATATGTGCGTTATACTTAATTTACTTGATTTATTAGAACTGCTTGTGTGTTTTGGAACCTCACTGGGCTGATTAGCTCATTCCACTCCTTTGTTTTCCTCAACAGGGTTCAAGACCGAGAGTGTTCCCGAATAATACAAAATTGTTTTCTTTTGGAGACTTTAAGTTGTGTTATAGCAAATGACTATAGTACATATTCTTTTGGGTTGTATTTAAACTTGAAGGTTAACTAATTTTAAGTATGAAATGTTTTGGAGTACTTTAAATGTATATTGAAAATATTTGAAGTATTTCTAACTTTTGAATTATGGATTGTAGTGAGCCCCGGTGAGAGTTGGGCAGGCAGTTCGCTGACCCCTCTGGTTTGCCTTTGGAGAAAGTGGGGCTGTCACATATTCTTTATCAATGATATCTATCAAGAATTATGCACACAATACATTATAATTTTATTTTCTACCTTTTATACATTTATATCTTCATCTCTTGTACAACATTTAAAATACAAGAGCAAAGACATTAAGTTTGAATGGTTATCAAAAAAGATGAATAAATATCTTTAACCACTTCAACTTGGCAGAAAATAATTCACAAATCTCATATTATGACTACTAAGAGAGTAAACTATTTTGCTATCTATAACAATCTAATCAGTCAACTTTCTGTAATGTAGTCTAAACATATGCCATGATAAAATTTAAAATCATTGAGTCTTTTATTTTATCTAAATACATTTATGGAGACAAATTTCAATCTCCTATGGCAAACTTAATAAGTTTACATGAATAACACACTTAATGCCAACATTGTTACATAAGACAAATGGAGCTTGTTCGATTTCATACGTCATTTGAAAATCTAGAATTATAAATTTATTATTTTAAAACTCCGATTGAATAATCAATATTAAAATTGTATTCAATAGTTATTAATTTTAAAATACGCAAATTCTAGTTTGCGACAAAATATATTTTGAAAAGAACTTTCTATTACGGGTAAAAATACTTCACTTGTATAATTGTAAAGGCATCATTTTTTATAATAGATGCTTTACTTCAATCAAATATGTTCCATTTTTCTTTTGAAACTAAACATACGTTGACAATGTGAATTGGGTGATGCAAGACAATTCATCTAGTGTCATTCATAGTCATAAAATTAGGGATTCCATTATATTCTTTCACAATAATTTTCAATCATAAAGACAAATCTTTCAATGTTTTCCTGACTAGATGAGGACAACATATATTTATTTTAATATATATTTTCATCCTTTATGAAAACATTATTGTCTCTATTTGCATTTCTACATTTATGAGATACAATATTAACTTTAGTCTCATCTCTCAAATTTAAACTCCTCTTATTTTTTCACATACACATGACTAAGTGTGAGTAATAACCATATTCTTTAATGTGTATTATAAAAGATTTTTGAGTAGTTCAAAGTTTCAAAAAGAGAATTTAAAATGAAATGCTCAAGAAATTATCAAAAATTCAATCACGGGATTTACCGTAAATAAATCAGCAGCTTGCACCTTAAATTCAAGAATTAATTCACAATATTTCAGAGTCAAAACAAAAGGTGTTTTAAGGGTGTTTAGTCAAAATTATACTATAATTCCACAACTACCTTTATGGAAATTTTGACTTTAATCACTTTAAGGGTAATAACCATACATCTTAATGTAAATACAACATTTAATGGGCATATTAATAATATTAATTGCTCTAACTACTTGTATCCAACCATTATATTAGCACATATGCATTAAAGTGAGATTCATACTCACGTGTGCTAATTTAATTTTGCACCCAAAATCAAGAGAACAGAATAATATGACTAGCATAAGAGAATAATTACAAATTATTGGAATATAATACAAGTTAAAAACAAGAATACTAACATTAGGTGTAAGGATGCAATTTTGTCTTACTGTAAAATAGTAAATCTAAACTCATATACTAAAACAATAAATTAAAGAAATAGTCCTAACCTTTGGGCATAGAAAAATTTCCTAATTTAATGTCTAGCAAATCAACTTGTTTAATAGATTTACTAAATAATTGAACATTAGGTGAGTAATCCATTGCATCATCGTATTCTACCTTTGGGTTGAATAACGACTTACCAGTGATTCACTCCATAAGTGAGAAACAAAAATCAAAACAGAAATATTATATTAATTGGGCAATTTTACAAGTAAGTGACAATTATTCACTTGCATCAAAGAAGTTATACACCTTTGGGTAATATAACAACTACTTCATGAATATAGAAATATAATATTTTTGGGCAAATTATAATTCTTTAACCATGATTTCACATGAATACAAATAACTATTTAATAAATTTTATCATAATTAGGATCAACCGAGAGGACTATGTTTTCTCTCTAGGGTTTCTCTCTAATTGGAGGCGCCGCCAACGATTGTGCTACCCCAATTTCTCCATGGACGCCCTTCAGCCTAGGGCTGGAGGGCACTCCCCCTCACCATCGACAAAGTCGTTTGCCTCCCTTTTTGCAAATGAATCTCCATCTCCAATTGATCTCAAGAAGCCGGCAGCGCATAGAGGTGAGCCTGCGATTTTCTTTTCACGCGAAGATATTGTAAAGCTGGCTGCTCCATATAAATTTGCGTTAGTTGGTAAATTTTCTCACGGTAGGCCGAAACTGGATGAGGTTCGCAGATTCTTCTCCAAGTTGGATTTGAAAAATCCTGTCACCATTGGGCACTTAGATGCTCGACATGTTCTACTGAGATTCACTCTTGAAGCCAATTTCTTGCTTGTTTGGACTCGGGGGCTGTGGCAAATTGGAAGGTTTCCAATGCGAGTGTTTCGCTGGTCGCCAGATTTTCATGTCAATCGGGAGTCCTCTCTAGCTCCAGTATGGATTGCTCTTCCATGTTTACCAATACATTTTTTTGATAAACACAGTCTGCTCTCAATTGCAACTATGGTTGGACGGCCGTTGTATGTCGATGCAGCTACTTCATCACTGATTCGTCCCAGCGTGGCTCGGGTGTGTGTGGAGGTTGATCTCTTGCAGCCTCTGCCACAGTGTGTTTTGCTGGGAATGGATGGAGATGCGGATGGTTTTTGGCAACAGATTGTTTTTGAACGTCTTCCCCAATATTGTAACAAATGCTGGCATATGGGTCACGCAAGGGAAGATTGTAGGGCTACTGATCCGAAGTTCAGGCTAAATCGTTTGGGTAAGGAGCTCCAAGCTGCTGTAGCGGATGAGGTGATAGAGATTACAGGAACCTAGCGAGTTACAAAATCAATATATGCTCCAAAAGTTGGTTGCGTGGAAGATGGGGATCGTGGCGGGGCAGATGGAGTAGATGCGGGAAGAGACAATCAGGGAGGAGTGAGGGACCATATGTTGGGAAAAAAGGAGACAAGGGAACAGGTGGAGAGGCATAAGGAGTCTGGTTTGGGTGGTTCCAAGCAAGGGGTGTGGGTGGGTGACACGAGCTGTGAGAATTCTGGAGGAGTGGCTGGTGTCGGTTTGTAAGATGAATTGGGCCTCCAAACCGTGGCACAACTTGATTCAGCGGGAGTGGGAGATCGTGGACAGGCAGCATGTGGAGATGATGAGATGGGGTCGCCTTCGGATAAGGTTGGAGTTGAGGCTCTAGTCGGTGAGGGTGAGTTGATTAAGCGGGAATCTTGTGGGCTAGGCAGAGACACTCCAGTTAGTCCTACTGGTCCTATTGAGCATATGGCAGCTATCCATACGATTGGTGCTGTGGTGCCGGAGGATGGAGCAGATGTTGGGTTGCCGATTTCGACTTCAAATCCACTTGAGGATGGGAAATTCACTGATCCGGGGTCTGAGGATGACCATTCCATTCATCCAGCTAATGGCACTTTCACAGAGGCTGCATCGAAAGAGAAGGCAATGGAGGCTGGCGACTCCCCACAGCAAACAAGTACAAGAACAGAAATGAAATCCTCTATGCCTCAAAAGACACAGATTAAAGATGTGCCACAATTTAAAGATGTGTTCGAAGAGTTTAAATGGGAGAAAATACATGGTAAAATCCCCCTCATGTATCAAAAGCCTTTTCGTCATTCAAGAACAATATGCAAGGATGACAAAAATGAAGAAAAAGAAGATGATTCACAACGCAATAAAGACAGAGATCAAGACCAGAACCTAGTTCACGAGCAATTTACCCAAATTATTTCAAAGAAAGCGAGGAAGTAGCTCTCAAAAATAGGTAAAACAATGCAAACACGTCAAGATGTTAAACCAAATTCCCATGCTCACTCACAATCCCACAAATGTGGGGCACTCTTATGTGGATGATTTCGTTCGATTCATCTGTTATGTGTTTAGATTCGCAGATTTTTCCATATGTGCGTATTATTGTTGATCCTTAGTTGTCCCTTTTTACTTAACAGAGGTCAGGTTTGGCCCCCCTCTAATTCGCTGTACTCTTTTCGATTATAAATAAATTAAGGGATGTCATCCCTATATATATATATAAAAAAATCATAATTAGGTCACTTTGGTGACGGCTAATTAATCATCACCATCATGTTTATCTAGATTATTTAATCTCAGCTTGCCCAAGAATATAACTATATTAGTTTAATTTGTACTAATTTGAAATTTTACCAATATAATTGAGAATTCTAAAATCTCAAATTGTCCTAGTACAAATTTAACATGGGCTCCATATCACAAGAGTCTTTCATGATATCACAATAATACTTGCTACTTTGCGCGTGCAATAATCTCAAATTTCATAAAATAGGGGTAGTAGTTGATATACTATATAATTATTGCCGAACTACTACTTGATATTCGCAGGAACCAGTTGTACTAGTGATAACGCATGCAAGTATCATTGTACAATAGTAAATAGTAAGCAATTAAACCAGTCACATTAATTTAATTTATACATAAAAGTAGGCCGAGAATGGTTGATCATCAAATATGACTACTACTACTTGGACAAGTTCAAACCATTTTCCACTGGACCCTTGTCCTCAACAAAATCTCCGTTACATGAAATCCAATCTGTACCAGAAAAGGCCCACAAAGATTTCACACATAACTTGAAAAAATTAATTGCAGACCGTATATCATTATTATATTAGACAACTTATGCCAAGAGGCTCAAAACAATCATCCAATGTCCGATGCTTGTCCACAAGTGTATCAAAGACGCAAATTTGATTAGTATCAATGTAATGATACTAATCCAGCCCATTAAAAATTGGCTTGAAATTAGCATGTGCTAGAACTCCAAGTATGATTGGTCTAACTTGGAAAAATGGTACAAAAGTTATGTGTAATACACAAAACACCAAAAACCGCTACTCCAATTATAAACATGGAGCCAAATTCAAGCAGTTTCATCTAGGACTAAAGAAACAAAAATAGGTCCTCAATTCTATGTCAAGTCATTATAAATGGAATAAACAAACAAACAGGTTCACAATCAATTGTCTATCAAATTTTATGCAAACCCAATAAAATTACTAACATAATAGATTTACAAACCATAAACATCAACCCAAAGTTTTGATACCACATGTTAGATATAAAAGTAGGATCGTAGTTTAGACTTGTAAATCATAAACAACAATTTGAGGCATACCTTATGACCGTCGCAACTCCACAATTAACTGAAGTCAAGTGGCCATTATTAATATGGCTTCTAGGTTCGACATTCTTGTGGAAGAACCATGCAGCTTCTAATTACAAGGTACCTTCCCTACTTGGCCTTCCCTCACCTACTCTCCTGTTATGTTATTTTAGTGATGGGTAAAAATAATGTATGTCAGAATGGTGAGAGGGATCAAGAGCCCTAGAATATTTATAATGTATGTCAAAATGGTGAGAGGGACCAAGAGCCCTAGAATATTTATAGAGTCACAATCCCTCCCATCATGGGATAATGATAGACTCTAATATTCTTATCGTACTTTATTTGTTAACCATAATGATAAGTCACAATTTAATAATTACTGTAATTATCAGATAAAGTATCACAATAAATATCATATAATACGTCCACATACAACGAATATGAGATTTCTTACTTCCTCTAGTCATCTATTCTCATTAGAATTCTGTAATTAGTTATTCATATTTATTCATATGGTTATTTATCCTTCTAATTAATGGGAGTTATCTTAATAATATATATGTGGTCATGTAGGCCACATAAATATTCTAACAGAGTCAACTCGGAGACAGGTCATTCATTGATTCGGCTATCGATCTCGTACCAGTAAGCACTCCGATTACATATCGTCCGAGTCATCTCGGAATTGGACGATATGGCGAACCATTGTTGAGATTAATGTGTTTGAATTTGTGCCTAATGCTGAGACTCATCTTACTTTTACAGAAACGTCAACTACTGTGCAAGACTTTACGAGTGGTTGGCCAATTAGAACTTTGTAAGCTGAATTCGGATCCTTATGGAAAATGTCATGAGGCAAAAGCAGAATACTCGATCTCAAGACACATTAGTCTTGCATTAGAGTCATGCACGCCTTGTCCGTTAAGGTCCATTTTGCTAAAGAGCAGAAAATTCTGTAAGTCTCAACAGTTACAAGATCGAGTATAATGGGTAAAATAAATTGGTTTTTTGTGTCCAAATATCAGAACTGGCAATGACAACCAACGATAGAAAATGCAGCAAATCATTGGTGATCAATGGCGATTCGAGAATTCACAAATTACCATAAAAAATTCTTATCAACATACTCTCGGCTCTCGAGATTTATCCACCAAAACCATCAGCTAATGTCTGTGTGTGCGAGACATGTTTCACGTTTCAGGCTACTTTCAAGTCCTGAATTCTTCGTTTTATGCTTCTTCAGATCACCTAACATGAAGATGAACCACACTACCGTGATTTTTACTGTCTACCAGGAAAAAACGCGGAATAACCAAAAGGTCCCTCTCAAAAATCTATGGCCATGTTTGGTACCATCCATGGCCTGATTCGCTTTCACCAATTTGGCTTTCGTTGTTCAGATATTGTCTATTTTTGTCTACGTAATAAACAGCTGTCGGAAAAAAACCGTTTCTTAATTGAGATGATCAACACGAATAGTTTTGGGGTTCAAAATTATTCACATATTAAAACAAAACTAAATTCCAAGAAAAAAAAATATCTAAGCCCCGAAAAATTACCTTATTGGGCTCCAATTGAAGAAGAGACTCCAAGTCCAGGAAATTACCTTATCTAAATCCCATAAAGGCCTGTCAAGAATCTCTATAAAAAAGAAGTATGTTCTTATTTTGTAACATTCTATTCTCTCTAGAACCTTAGATATGGAATATTTCTTTCCCTATATTTTCTCTTTCCACAAATTATTAATTTAAGCATTGGAACTTCTCCAAGAGGATAGAGCCCCTACTTTTTTGTGCAAGTTGTTTTTGGAGTTTTACCGACTACTATCCACGCTTGATAATTGGGCAACTTTTTTGCATCAAGCTCAGTTATCTAAGTACAAATTGGCTTCTTCATATAGTAAAGTGATCGTACTACTTGAAAATTGGCTTCTTCATATAGTAAAGCTAGATTAACATTTGATTATATTACTTGAACGATAATTAAATTAGCACTTGGTATAAGTAAATCACTGAACTAATCCAACTCGATTCATGTGCACCTTTTTTGGGTGGACTTACTTTATGTATATATATTTTCTTAAAACCACGTAATCAAATCAAATCAAATCGATTAAATTAACACAAAAAATTGCGCATACTGTTGACACCACTCTTTCATGGATTAACTACGGCTAGTAATTTTAAATATTAATCAAGTAATACCATACATCAGATGGTACAATTTGTGACAGCCCCACCTCCCCCTAAGGCGAACCAAAGGGTTCGGCGAACCGCCTGTCCAGCTCTCGCCGGGATTCACTACAGTTCTCAAATAAATTTCATCACTCACCTCCGATAACATAGAGTACAACCTCAATAATAAACGAAATAATATTTCCCAAACTTAGAACGTATACGTACATACATTACAAATCTCAAGTAGTGGTACAATTCCCCAAATAAGACAAAAGCCCTTAGTTCTCAAATAATTACAAGTACAATATCAGTCTCAAATATTACAACTTCCAAAGTTCCCCGAATTCACATACCACAAGTGGACCGAGTTCGAATTCAAATTATACAAGAGATATTTCATCCAGTCATACTAATAACTCATTACACGCGCTTCCTTTGCCTTGAGCCCTGTGGAGGGGGGAAAATATTTTGGGGTGAGCTACAAG